CCCACTAAGGCCGCGGCGGCAGCGGCAGCTGCAGCGGCTGCGGCGGCAGCACGTTTCTTGCCTGAGCGCGAATTTGACTTTTGTGCCGTTGATGTTTGTTGTTGATTTTGCGATTGTGCACTCTGTTGCTGTTGATGTTGTTGTTGCTGATGGTGTTGTTGTTGTTGTTGTTGCAAGGCTTGCATGCTACTCTCACCAGAACGCGACCTGTTGCACGAGAGTGGGCGTATGTGCACGGCAGGGCGCACACACGTTAGATTTTTTTTTTTTTAATTTTCGAGTGTATGGTGAATTGCCGTTATTTTGGTTGGTTGTGGAAGGTGAGTGAGAGTACAGCCATTACATTGCGTGTGTAGTGAATTTTGTTGGGCATTATTTAAAAAAATTCAATTTGCATACGCATTTTTTTTGTAATATTTGAAGAGAAAAAGTAGAAAAAGCAAAGAAAAAATATTGACATACTTCAGTTTTCACTTTCAATTAGGCTTAATTGCATTTAAACTTTTGTTTGGTTGTGTATGTATGTGGTGGGGCGGATGCGAGTGGTGAGTTTGTTGCTTTTAATTGCATTATTTTAAGAGTTAAACATCAATACATTTTTTAACTTACATATTGTAGGTATGTACATATGTATGTATGTCTGTAGGTATGCATGTATGGGAAATTGGGTAGTTGTTGTATGTAAGTATGTACAAAATCTTGCGGAAATTGAGGTGAATTTTGTTAATTATCCTAATTTTTACAATCGAAAGTTGAATGAAAATGCAAGCGAAAATCGATTATAGTCTAAAAGTGTTTCATGAATTTTCACAAATAAAAAAAAACTAAATCGAATACCACATATTATTATATGCAAGTTTTGTTTTGTATTAGTTTTATATACATATGTTTGTATGTATGTGTTAGTTAATTTGGTAAATAACAAGAGAAAAATTTAACTGAAGCTTGAAAACAAATAAATTTAAAGGGACATAAGAATTTTGGCAATAACAGTGCTTCAGCGCTAGTAAAGCATGGCTTTGCTTAAGTATGTATAACTCGGTACCATTATATTTTCTAAGAAATTCATGCCTTTATACAGTTTTATATGTTGTCGCAGTTTTATATGTTGACGAGGCAAATTTTGTGGCCGGTAGTACTTTAGAGTTAATTAAAATTTGCTTAAAAAATCTGTGAGTTTGAAAAAAGTGCACAATATTCACAAAATGTAATTTCTTGTATCCCCATCAATCATTATGCTCCGCATACAGCTGTCAACAATCAACACGCCAGAGGCAAACATTTTTGCAGTCGATGCTTTTTCCACATTATCCTTCAGAGCGTCTATCTTTTTTACTATGTATTAGATTGAGTAAAGAGGCATTGCGTATTTTTGCAACAGCTGGTGGCTAAAGTCTAATTTTCACAGCACCAAACATCAGCAAAGACATCGATCGAGTTAAACCCATGTTACACGAAACGAGGGTTCGCAGAAGCATTGAAAATCAATCAAAAAGATTGTTCACTTGCACCCAAAGAATCAGCAAGCTCGGTATTTAGATTGCAAATGAATTAAAAAAATCAATATATAAGACGACATGTGTGGATATCCACGATCTACAGCTGGAACGTGAAGAAAACGATCCTTTGAAAATAACGATAGCTGGTGACTGAGAAGAGGATTCGTTCGGAATAATGTGCGGCGCAAACACTCTTGATCCTGGCGTACTGGTTCGCTTCAAATAACTTCAAAAGCAGGACATCACCAAGAGAACTTTATGCTCTCAGAAATATGGAAAGTGATATTTGAGCTCATCATGCCCGTGATGATCTATGACGCAGAGGCTGAACGATGACATCATCTGGCGGCCCTTAGAGTGTTCGACAAGAAGATTCTATGGGAAATTTTCTGGCACTTTCAAAATTTGTTACGGCGACATCGTCATAGTGCGGCGAATTAAAAACCAGCGGCTGCGGCTATGTCATACGAATGGTTGAAAATGTTCCAGCCTGGAAAATATTCGACGCGCTACCTGTTAGCGGCACAGAGTAGGCAAGAGGACAGCCGCTCAGCGTTGGAAAGATCAGGTGGTGAAGGACGTAGCTCAACTCGGTGTCAGCGACCGTCGTAACGGGTATGATCTTTATAATAAAACCCATAATTTAGCCGCTATTCTATTATTTCGATCAAATTTAACCGTTATTTTATGATTTTTACTTTTTTCGATTAAGAATAATCTTTATTTTAGGATTTTTTGCCTTTTCGATCAAAAATAATTGTTTTTTTTTAATTTTAAATTTTTTAATCATATTATAACCGTAACTTGAGATCTAACTTTTTAGGGCATACGATATTTTATAGGGTTATAACGGTTAAAAATGGTAAAACGATATACATAAAACCAAAAGAACGATTATTGTTGATAGAAAAAACTTATGTTTACAAAATAAATATTAAATTTACTGAAAAAATTTATTTCAAATTTTAACAATTATTTTTTTTATCGAAAAAGTGAAAATTATAAAATAGTCTTGTTGTAAAACCATTTAATAAACGCGATTGTGTTGTAGTCCTCATATTTGGTTTGCTCAAAACGATCTGAGTGAAGATAATTTTATGCTAGCATTTTTGGTGTAGCGCAATCAAAGGTTATGTTAAGTTTTCTTAGCTGATCCCTAAGGTTTCAAAAGACTACTTGCTGATCTTGGTAGTAAAAACAGTGTGGAGCCGAGAAGTAAACAGAAATTTCCTTACATTAGCGGCTTCTTTTGTGTGGTCCCGCCTTATACTCCAAGGCTGTAGTACTTGTAATCGCATAAAATATTCCACATAAATTTTTAAGGATCCATAGTAAATCCATTGAGCTTTTAAAGCTTGCTTTTCGTGTTTTGCGCTTTTTGGTGGCTTTGTAAAGCATCGTTGAAGCCATACAAAATTTGATTTCGTTTGTTTAGTTCTTGCAGCGCTTTTAGTAACAACAATCATACACAAATTAAATAAAAAAAAGCCGTCGAATTCGATACTGAGCGAGAGCAACAACAACAGCAAAAGAACTTAAATTTTTAAGAAGTAACGGTTAAAGCATATTAGAATAAAATAAACAAGCAACTTTTCATTTAATTATTTAATACCGAAACAAATTTCTTTTAATTGCATGCAGCGCTTAGATGTGAGTACAATTTAGGATTTTTGGGCAAACATGCAAAACAGCTTTTGGGTGGTGGTGGAGTGCTTGGTTTATGAGTGTTTCGTGTGTTCTTCAATCATGAGCAACAAAAAAGCGGATACGTTTAAACAGTAGCACAGCAACAAAACAAAAAATAAAGCAACACTTGTTCGTCCTTGTTTTCGATCACACTCACCTGCTCCTTCGC